ATAAAATAAAATAAAATAAAATAAAATAAAATAAAATAAAACTACCCTGACAGGTTCAAGCCTTTGGTGAGTTTTATTGTGTTAATTTGAAGTAGTCTGACTTAAAGAGCTGCTTGATGGAACAGAACAATAATAATAATGGAGAATTGTTCAGAAAGCAATTTGGACTAAGGGAAAAGACATTCCCTGGCAACTTTTCCATCTGTGAAGAGCCACAAAGAAAAGGGGAAATGATCTTAAAAAGCACAATTGGTGAAGTTTTTATTGGGCAATAAATATTGAAAATATGAAAGTTCTGGCTGCTCCACAGAATGCTTCAAGGAGTTGGCTGTAATGCGTACTTCATATTTTTAACTGTGTTTTCTTTAAGAAAACAGTCTAGGTTCAGTCCTAAACATACTAAAGTATAGTAGATGTTTCTCATAGAGGAAATTTCTCTAGAGATGCAAGGTGACCTCTGAAGATGCATTTTGATATATCCCAAGTTTATAGCATAATTGTTTGTTCTCTGCTTAGAAGTAAGTCCTGATTAAATTCAATGACTGAATATAGGATTACAGCACAGGTTATATACCCTACAGTCATTGTCAGTCTATTTCTGTGGGGGAAAAACAGAACCTCTTAGACTCCATTGTAGACTATATAAAAAATAAATTGTATTTAGAAGTATAATAAAGTGAGGAAGGAGGCCAATGTGTGAATATGCTTGAGATTAACTTTTTGTGTGAGTCATCATAGCTTAGTGGTTTGAGTGTTGGACTACAACTCTGGAGACCAGGGTTCGAGTCCCAGCTCAGCCAGGAAACCGACTGGGTGACCTTGGGCAAGTCACATGCTCTCAGCCTCAGGGGAAGGCAATGGCAAACCTCCTCTGAACAAATCCTGCTCAGAAAACCCCGTAATAGGTTTGCTTTAGGGTTGCCATAAGTCGGAAGTGACTTGAAGACACACAACAACTTTTTATACCCAGAAATCCATGGCGCATACAAGGACTGTCATCTAATACTAAGGATTTTGCAGACATCATACATGCAAGTGAGGATCTGAAAAAGGCCAGGTTGCCTGTCATCTGCATTTTGTTGGCAAACATCACAATATTTATACATCATTTATAAATTATACTGTTATGTATATTTAATACCCAGGAGTTGGTTTCCTTGTACAAAGAGTAATGTAAGACATGACCTTGAGAGAGCACTGCTCTCTTCCACTTAACAAAAAGTTAACAGCAACAGCAATAGCCCATAGGTTAGTACAATTCCTAATTCAGCTAGAAATACAAGTGAGGAAGCATCACACTTTGCTGTCTAGGATGTCTGTTAATATTATCCTACTTGTTAAGGGGACCAGAGTGACATAGTGGTTTAAGTGTTGGATTGTGACGCTGGAGATCAGGGTTCAATTCCCACCTCTGCCATGAAACCCACTAGGTGAACTTAAGCAAGTCACACACTCTCAGCCTCAGAGAAAAGGCAATGCAAACCACCTCTGAATAAATCTCACTAGGAAAATCCCAGGAAAACCCCTTAGGGTCATTGTAAGTCAGAAACTACTTGAAGCACACAACAGCAAGTGCAACAAATTTGTTAAAGTTTAATATAGTAGTAGAACACAAGCATTCCAGTAGCAGTTTGAGGTTTTTTTTTCTAAGGACAGGGAAAAAGGTGTTCCCTTTTCTTCTTGACGACAGTTTAATTATAGGTCATAATGGAGTGTTTATCTTAGGGCCTTTGCAGACTGCCAAAAATAGTGCAAATTGAGTCCACTTTAACTGCCCTGACTCAGTGCTAGGGAATCATGGGAACTGTATTTTATTGTGGCACCAGAGCTCTCTGACAGAGAAGGCTCAATGCCTCAGAAAAAAATAATTCAATTCCCATGATTCCCTAGCACTGAGCCAGGGCAGTTAAAGTGGACAGGAATGCCTGAAGTGTTCACTTGAAGTTAGCATGAAATATTTTAGGTTGCAGTCATATGTGTTCACTGTCTCACTCGAGTTCAGAGGGGCTTATTCCCAAGTAAGTGTGTATAGCGCTGCAGCCTTAAAAGTAATCACATTACAATCAATGCAACTGCTCTTGGAATGACTGGTAAGATCTTGGATGATTACTTTTGCAAACATTTTGAATTGCTCCAGGCATCAGTGACCTTGTGACTGCCAACAGACCAGATGAAACAACCCACAGCCGAGAAAAAAGGAACTACTACAGCCTTACAGTGACCTTCAGGGGAAGGTGACACTTGATTACACTGAATCCACACTGAAAGGTGATTTCATCATTTCTCAATAGACTGAAAAACTGATCTTCCTACACTTTTTGAAAAAGTTAATCTGAAAAGGCGAACTAATTTAATTATGTTTTATTTCTATCTACCTACCTCCTTCCCACCTACTCATCCACTTCCTTTTTTTTGGCAGCAGTGATTTCAAGTGAAGGGGACCATTGACACCATGTCAGAATTCTGGTTAATCTCAGCACCTGGGGACAAGGCAAACATGGTGGCCTGGGATAGGATGAACACGGTGACTTCCAAAGCCAACCTGTCCACTAACAGCAAGTTCATCATCCCTGACCTCAAGGTAAAGGTGGGCTAAAAGCTGGGAGGAGGAAGAAACTAGAACAGCAACAACATGAAGTCACATTTCTGCCCCCACATCACCTTTCTGTATAGCTAGATTGGTACTGCAGTGCCGAAATGATTGCAGAAACGGTCATGAAATTATTGACATTGGGGTCAAAGAAGGTGTCTGTTTTGCGTGATTAAACTGTGGATTAGTTGCCGGTCGAGAAAACAGGATTATTACCTTAATTTCCACCAGACCTGTTACCTGTGGAAAGCCTTTTTTATGATCAAACATCATTTTGTAACCAAAATAGTCAATGGGAACCCCTGGCAGGGAAAAGATCCCGATTAAAAGAACAGTGTGAGCATCCTGAAAAAGTGTGTGTTGCTTCTCCCTCTGTGGATATATTAAGCAGGCACCTTATCAGAGGAATTCAGGAAGGCTTGCTAAAATAATCTGGACTTCTTACACATCATATACTTCTTTGTAATTGACTCCAGTAAAATTTACTCCCAAGCAAGTGTGTATAGAGTTTTATTTTGTGCACTTCCTTCCAAGTAAACCATGGAGTGACTGACCAAACATGTATAGGACTGAGCTGTTACAAACATCTTGCAGCAAGGATATGAATTATGCAGCCCTCCTGGTGCTGGTGAATTGTATCTCCCGGAAACGTTAACTAGTATAGCCAATGGTTAGGAATGCTGGGTGTTGCTGTTCTGGAGTGCCACACAATTCCCAGCCCATCTCACACTTTCATTTTATGCGTGTTTACTTAGAAGTAAGTCCTGTTCACTTCATTGGGACTTACTCCCAACTATGTGTAGCAGCCTTCCCTAGCTGGGTTTTCTCTTTGTGCCTAAATCAGGGGTAGGCAACCTAAGGCCCGGGGGCCGGATGCGGCCCCCCAAGGCCTTCGGACCGGCCCCAGGTCAGTCCTGCCGCCGCCACTGCCGCCACCCGCCATGATGATATTGATCATTGCTGTTATTACTTGTTCTTGGGGGTTTCTTGGCAAAATCTCCACAGGGGTTTTGCCATGGCTTTTCTGGGGCTGAGAGAGTGTGCATGCATATTTTTTTAAATTTTAAAAAAATTTTTAAAATTTATTTATTTATTTTTGGTGCTTCGGTCCCCCAATTGTCTGAGGGACAGCAACCTGGCCCCCGGCTCAAAAAGGTTGCCTACCCCTGGCCTAAATAATCCTCAACAACCCCAGACAGCATGACCAATAGACAGGAATAATGGGAGGTGTAGTCTAAAATATCAGGTAGGGGAAGGCTGGTATATTCAATTGTAACCTCAGTTGGTTTAAATTCTGCTTATGTTAATACAACTGAAGCCATAATTTGAGTGTATGTTAAGCTTTTGAGCATATCTATTCACTCTGTTTTAAATGCAGGCTTGTATTTATGGAAACTTTCAAATATATTCTGTAGATTAAAAAAAATTTTGAGGGACAACCCCAGTTTCATTATTCAGCACCAGTGTAGAGAACCTCTGATATCTTAATTAATATTAATTCACTAGCTAGTTGTGAATTGCTAGTTTGCTAGCTTTTTGTGTGTGTGTGTGTGTGTGTATAAGCATGCATTTTGTTAACCATCTTACTTACAGTAAAAAGCTGTGATATTATAAGCATGTGACAATTACAGAAGTGATGTGTCATGTCTTAAAGCCAACTTCTCTGTTTATATCAGGAATCTGTCGCAACGTCAAGAATAACATAAATGACCAATTGATCTGGCTCCTCCCACCATCATTGGGAGGAGGCATATCAAAGATTAAGGATGAGAGTTTTAGGGTCTATCCATGCTGCAGAATGAAAGCAGTTTGATACCATTTTAGTTGCTATGACTTTGTCCAACAGAATCCTGCGATTTGCAGTTTGATGAGGCACCAGAGCTCTCTGACAGACCTGGCTGACCACGAAACTACAGATCCCAAGATTCTGTAAGATAGAGTCATGGGAGTTAAAGTGATGTCAAACTGCTTTCATTCTGCAGTGTGGATGTATCAAAAGGCATTGGGTATAATCCAGTTTGACACCACTTTAACTGCCATGGCTCATTTTGTGAGACACTTAGCTGCCTCTGTCAGAGAGATCTGGTACCCCAACAAACTACAGTTTGCAGAATTCCATAGCACAGAGCCGTGGCAGTTGAAGTAGTGTCAAACTGGATTATTTATGCAGTGTGGATGCAGCCTAAGTCTTCTTCCCATTTAATCTGGAAGCAAACCTTTTATTGGCTTCAGTAGCTCAGATCTGTACCTAATGGCATTCATATTTTGAGCAACTGAGGAACAAAAAACAACCACCCCTTATGATTATGATTCCTCATAATCATAAGACAAAAACTTATCATTTTTCCTTACTTAGAATAGACTGTCTAATATGATGCATTGCAAGCATTTTCCATTCAAGGAAAAAGTCCTCTCAGGTTTTCCATGAATATCCTTACCAACTGGATAACATGGAAGATTCTGTCTCTCAAAGAAAGGCCACTAAAATTTGGCAAAATATGGCCAGCAACTGACTTGTTCATGCTGAGTCCACTTGTGCTTCTTTCTGCAGGTGGGGACATTGGATGCTCTTGTTGGCCTCTCAGATGAGTTGGGGAAACTCGATAGCTTTGCTGAAAGGTAAAATAGATGTTATTTACTACACACAAACAGCAAGCGGATGTTGTTTTTACAGGACACAGTGTTCCTGTATTAACCTAACTCTGACTTGTTCTAGCCCATCCTTAGCATGCAGTCAGGATGGACAGGTTTGACTTTATTGTGCTTAAAGCCAGGTTGCCCTCAATAAGGTCCAGATCCTGCCTTTCCTACCTAACTTGACAACAATACTGAAATCCTTAAGGTTAGCGTAGGTGGTGGAGTTTACACTGGGAATAGGCAGGCACATCCCTGTGTAATAGCTTGGTACCATGGATCCTATGTTTTCTTTTCTGTTTGTTGTGCTGATCGAAAGTGAGATGGTTCTGCACAGACTACCTGGGAGCAGGGATAACACATGACAGACACATTAAAGGCACCCCAGTGACTACAAGTATCCTTAGGGTAAATACCAGTGTTCTGTTCTATTTTTTAGATCCCACAGCTCTTCCTTCTTCCAAAAATCTTCAAGCTCTTATTCTCTTTCCCTAAAGGTTTTTTTTTCCTTATATCTTTTACTATAGTCCTAGGTGTAGCTCTGCCATCAATCCAGAAGCATATCAGTTGAGTTTA